CATTGTTCTTCCAACGTCTGATTTCTTTTTAATTATAGGAATTGCGTTTTTTTAAGGTACATAAACTTTTGGGATTGACTGTATAGCCAATATATCCTTAAGTGATAACTTAAACTACAGTTACATAAAACAAGTGCCGACCGTTGTTATTTCATAAGGAACAGAACGCACCGACACAACATTGGGCAATGCAACCACCCCCAGGTTTTGCTGCGCCAGCGACTACGGGGCAGCTGAGTAATCAACAACCCAGCACAACTGCACAGCCGCACACTAAACTTATCTCAGCTGGATCGGATATCGAAAGTAAGTGTCGGTGTCCATTCCTAACGATCGACGAACCATTGAACGTGATAACGAAACTATGTTAAACGCAATTTCATTTACAGATTTATAAATAAATATGAATACGCGAGATGTACAAGTGGCATGATAAAACATCTATACGAGACAAGGTGAAAGTCAGCAATGATACAAAAAACCCGACAGTCTGTTACGTACGTTTTCCTGACCCGTGTCTATATACATATATCAATTAATTTTATTCTGATACTTTATTCCCGCTGGATGAGTATTTATCGTTGAGATAAGTATTAAAACATAACTGGAATATAATTTAACATGAATACTTTCGTATACGTGCGAGGAATACAAGTCTATACATCTTCTGGATAATATTATCATATTTAATCTATAGTAAATTCGAGCTATTCACAAGTCTGGCAGTCGTCTTGCTACGATTACGTTTACGTAGGATGAAATGATGGAAGGTATAAAAGGCAATGATTTATGATTTATAATTAACATTAAATAAGATACTTACGATGGTAATTATAATAAACAAAAATTTTTGTGTATATATTACTCGAATCCAAGTAAATATTATTCAAGCGAACATGAGAAATGCTTTTTTGTGTAAATAAATACATCATACATTTTCAGGACATATATCCACGAGTAAAAATTTATCACGCGATGAAAGTTTACAAACGATTATTCTTCTCGTGTATCGATACATTTTTTATTTA